AGGGTTTAGGGTTTAGGGCCGAATTGGAAGAAAGTGGAACTCGAAATGGACACTGGGGGTTACAGGCAAGTACTAGGCCGCTTTTTTTTGAGCAGGGCAAACTTTACTGCACCCTGTGTGAAGGAAGCGCTCGGACTATGGCTCTTGCGGGCATATGATGCCAAATCACCTCCCCCTGACGTTAAAGTCCCCCCACCCCCCTAATATTAAATGTTCCCTTGTGGTATACTGTAAGATATATGGAATATGTATGAATATTTAACACTACGGGGGTGGGTGGTTTTATATGAGGGGAAGGGGATTAACATGCTAAGGAGACTCCTCATCTACCTGCTCAAGTGCCAGCAATCAAAAACAATCCAGCAGCACTAGGCGCAGGCGAGCCAGTTCGCAAGTTTTAGGGACTTGTTAGCCCACGACGTCATCAAACTACGCTTCAAAAAAACGTGATCACCCCTCACATACATCAAAAAATGGCAGTAGTCATGTGGGCCCGGGCCCACACATATATATATATGATATATATATACATACATTACAGATAATATGAATCAAAAATACTAATAGTATTAAGAATAATAATGATAATGATAAGAACATACCTGGACTTCAGTTGCAGCCTGGCGGCTGAGCCAAACTGGCGGTAATTGGCGTCTGCATCATGATCCACCTGAGATTTTGAAACAATGTTGAAGGAAAAACCCTGGATGTGGTGGCTTAACGAAACCTTAGTCATACAGTAGTTTGATACCTGAAAACAAATGCAAATAGTTCCATCACAGCTTTGGACTAAGGCCTTGGGCGACGGTGCAGCTGATGCTCATGATGCTGGGCCGAGTTTGGGGGGTTCGGCAAAAGCCAGTGCAGTTGATGCTCAAGATGCTGGGCCGGGTTTGGGGGCTTCGGCAAAAGCCGGTGCAGCTGATGCTCATGATGCTGGGCCGGGTTTGGGGGCTTCGGCAAAAGCCTGTGCAGCTGATGCTCATGATGCTAGGCCGGATTTGGGGGCTTCGGCAAAAGCCAGGTGCAGAGTTGGGGGCTCCGGGAAAGGGTGCAGCTGATGCTCATGATACTGAGCTGGATTTGGGGGCTTCGGCAAGAGCCTGTGCAGCTCATGCTCATGATGCTGGGCCGTTTTTGGGGGCTTCTGCAAAAGCCTGCGCAGCTGATGCTCATGATGCTGGGCCGTATTTAGGGGGCTTCGGCAAGAGCCAGGTGCGGAGCTGATGCTCATGATGCTGAGCCGGATTTGGGGGCTTCGCCAAAAGCAGGTGCAGCTGATGCTCATGATGCTGGGCCGGGTTTTGGCACTTCGGCAAAAGCCGGTGCAGCTGATGCTCATGATTCTGGCCGGGTTTGGGGGCTTCAGCAAGATGGCAAAAGCTGGTGCAGCTGATGCTCATGATGCTGGGCCGGATTTGGTGGCTTCGGAAAAATCGCAAAAGCAAGTGCAGCTGATGCTCATGATGCTGGGCCGGATTTGGGGGCTTCGCCAAAAGCAGGTGCAGCTGATGCTCATGATGCTGGGCCGGGTTTGGGCACTTCGGCAAAACCGATGCAGCTGGTGCTCATGATGCCGGGCCGGGTTTGGGGGCTTCAGCAAGATGGCAAAAGCTGGTGCAGCTGATGCTCATGATGCTGGGCCGGATTCGGTGGCTTCGGAAAAATCGCAAAAGCAAGTGCAGCTGATGCTCATGATGCTGGGCCGGATTTGGGGGCTTCGCCAAAAGCCGGTGCAGCTGATGCTCATGATGCTGGGCCGGGTTTGGGCACTTCGGCAAAACCGGTGCAGCTGATGCTCATGATGCCGGGCCGGGTTTGGGGGCTTCGGCAGAAGCCGGTGCAGCTGATGCTCATGATGCTGGGCCAGATGTGAGGCCTTCGGCAAAAGCCGGTGCAGCTGATGCTCATGATGCTGGGCCGGATTTGGTGGCTTCGGAAAAATAGCAAAAGCAAGTGCAGCTGATGCTCATGATGCTGGGCCGGATTTGGGGGTTTCGGCAAAAGCCCGTGCAGCTGATGCTCATGATGCTGGGCCGGGTTTGGGGCTTCGCCAGAAGCCGGTGCAGCTGATGCTCATGATGCTGGGCCGGGTTTGGGGGCTTCGGAAAAATGGAGAAAGCCGGTGCAGCTAATGCTCATGAGCCGCGTTGGGGCGGTTCGGCAGAAGCCGGTGCAGCTGATGCTCATGATGCTGGGCTGATTTGGGGGCTTCGGCAAAAGCCGGTGCAGCTGATGCGTCAGGGTTTGGAGGCTTCGGCACAAGCAGGTGAAGCTGATGCTCATGATGCTGGGCCGGATTGCGGGGCTTCGGCAAAAGCCTGTGCAGCTGATGCTCATGATGCTTGGCTGGGTTTGGGGGCTTCGGAAAAATGGCAAAAGCCGGTGCGACTGATGCTCATGATGCTGGGCCGGGCTTGGGGGCTTCGGCAAACGCCGGTGCAGCTGATCATGATGCTGGGGCACAATTGGGACTGCCGAAAGAATGGCAAAAGCCGGTGCAGCTGATGCTCATGATGCTGGGCCCGGTTTGGGGCTTCGCCAAAAGCCGGTGCAGTTGATGCTCATGATGCTGGGCCGGATTTGGGGGCTTGGGCAGGGTTTGGGGGGCTCCGGCAAAAGCCGGTGCAGCTGATGCTCATGATGCTGGGCCGGATTTGGGGGCTGCGGCAAAAGCCGGTGCAGCTGATGCTCATGATGCTGGGCCGGGTTTGCGGGCTTCGGCAAAAACCAGTGCAGCTGATGCTCATGATGCTGGGCAGGGTTTGGGGACTGCGGCAAAAGCCAGCGCAGCTGATGCTCAGAATGCTGGGCAAGGTTTCGGGGCTTCAGCAGGAGCCGGTGCAGCTGATGCTCATGATGCTGGGCCGGATCTGGCGGCTTCGGAAAAAATGGCAAAAGCCGGTGCAGTTGATGCTCATGATGCTGGGCCGGGTTTGGAGGTTTCGGCAAAAGCTAGTGCAGCTGATGCTCATGATGCTGGGCCGGTTTTGGGGGCTTCGGAAAAATAGCAAAAGCCAGTGCAGCTGATGCTCATGATGCTGGGCCGTGTTTGGGGGCTTCAGAAAAATGGCAAAAGCTGGTGCGGCTAATGCTCATGATGCTGGGCCGGATTGGGGAGGCTTGGGCAGAAGCCTGTGCAGCTGATGCTCATGATGCTGGGCTAGGTTTGGAGTCTTCGGCAAAAGCTGGTGCAGCTGATGCTCATGATGCTGGGCAGGGTTTGAGGGCTTCGGCAAAAGCCGGTGCAGCTGATGCTCATGATGCCGGGCTGG